AAGAGATTAGGCTTGAAAAATGTGTATTATCCAACACAGCCTGGTTTGGAAGGGTATCCTACATTACCTTAACACGTTTTTTGGGCATAATTTAACAGTCACTAAACTTATTTCTGTGCCTGTGGATGGTGTGGACTTGCATCTGAATTTTCACTGACTTTGAGAAGTTATTCTATTTTGTCATTTTCCGTTTCCTGCTTAAGGGAACCTCAGACATTGTATCTCTTGTAGTATTTTCCCAGGACTTAATGAATGGAAACTTTTCCTGCCTTGGCTATTGAAGCATTTAAAATGCAGCCAAGGTTATGAAGTTGTTATCAGATTTTGCAACTAAATTGCTTCAGGAGTGCTATCTTCACATTTCTCATTTTAACCTTTGCAAGCACAACATCTCATCAAGTTGGGAATCCTCTTGTTGACTTCTAATTTGTTTTTGTGGAGTGGCAGGTGGATTGATAGCATCCTTGAAGCATTAAGACTACATGACTATGTCTAGGAGTTAAAAATGATTGGGTGATAACCATCTTTTCCACTTGTCCTATTTTCTCAAGGAGTCAAGGAGTCAAGGACTCATTCTTCTCTAGTGTCTTTGAGACTTGGTGGGAGATTGAGGCAGATTTTGCAACCCATATGATGTTTGCAACATTTATGTGGATCTGAGGCTACACATGGATCAGAGGACACAGGCAAGTTGCAGGATGGAAATGTACCTGAAATTTGACTATTTCGGCAGAATCATGTCAACATGGCAGAAGCATATCCTTTTGACAGAGCATTTGTTTGAGGTTAATGAAGAGGCCATCAACATGGTGCTGGAAGGAAAGTGAGCTCCTCAACTTGTATGCAATTTATCTTCCTCCTCTAAGCTAATTCATTTGACTTAAAATTGTTAAGAAACTTTCTTAACATTGAGATCCAATAGTCAGTAGGAGATCCTATCAGAAGTAGAGTTGGTATTCCCTATTCACAAGTTGTTGTCTGATACACTGTACATGTTAAGCAGGCATGTTAAGCAGGCAGAACGATTTTGGTAAAAGTTCTTTGTTCCTATTTCAGTTCAGCATGCTTATACTATAAAATGTTGGTGTTCACTCCCAATGCCTCTCAGAATAAATTTTTTTGATTGATAATATTTATAGTTGCACTCCTAGTTTGGAGAGAGGAGTTTTTTCAATTATGGGAGATATTTCTTACTCTACAAAGGAGAGTTTTCTTTTTAGCCATTGCATAAGATCTGCAATTAGTTTTACCTCATTTATGTATGAAATTCAATTTTTTGTTGGAGTTCTCCAAGACAAGACAGTCTGGCTGTTTGTATTTTAATTATCCGTCTCTTACAGGATTGTCTTCTTTATGAAGAAAAGGGAACTTTTGCTGTTCATATTGAATTTCCTTTTAATTCCTGAAACATTTTTATTATCAGATGAAAGGCCTAAATTCTATTGATGCACAATTTTTGTGATGTGCGTTCTCCTTTTCCCTGCCCATAATTTTCTATTCTTGTGTAGGACTTCTTGTAACAGCATATATAGCAGTTTCTTATTACAAATAACTTAAATTTTGACAAAAAGAAAAGGAGAGATTATTTCCACAGAGTGGGTGGTGGTTTCACTTTTCGAAAGGTTAGGCTGGAGGAAGTTTGCCCCGAAGAAAAGATGCAATCATGGTGAGCGCTCTCTCTGGTTGGTTGCTTGGTACTTGGTGGCCTGCACCCCTTACTGTGACCAGTGTTACTCCTCTGTAACGAACCACATATCCTCCGACCTGCCACCATCATCGTACTGGGATACATTAAAAGGTTAAAGCCCTAACTAAACTTATTGAATTGGAGGGAAAGATATGTTACCTCTCCACCAGAGTACCATGGGCGCCAGGCTTTCTCAACTGGGACTTTGAGGGCGTTGATTGAGTACCTGGAGGACGTAACTGGAATTCGGCCATCCATATCGCC